AAAAACCTAGTAATATTTGCTTAAGATGAATAATATTGCTATGAACATGTATGTACAAATATGAGTCCCTGCTTTTAATTCTTTTGTGTATATAACATTGTGTTGTTCAGTATCGTTGTGACATTGATGAGATGCTATAGGAATTTAACTCACATTTATCATTTATATCAATTAGTTTATGGTCCACTTATACAGAGATTTTAAAAAAATAAATATACCATCAGCCCTTCATATTCCTGGGTATCACATTCAGGGATTTAACAATTTTGTGGATACAAAAGAGTATTTTTGATTCACAGTTAGGAATCCTCAGATTTGGAGGGCTCACTTAAGTAATATGAGGCTTACGGGAATGGGGGGATAATGGGGCAGGTGTTGGTGTCCCTAATCATGACGTTGTTCAGAACCTATCGTATAAATTAAGTCAGGACTTATTGTGTTGACATAAAAAACTGTAGAGAGGGGTGGCTCCATAGTGTAGTGGTTCGTGTGTCTGTTTTGCATGTGGAGGACCCTGGGTTCATGCCCCAGGTGGGGCCATGGACCATACCCCAGGTGCACCTAGCCCCTGGCGCCTGGGCCCTGGTGCCTGGCCCCTGCCTGGCCCCTGGCCCTGGGGGCACACAGCAAGTGAGTGTGTAATGGGGCGCCCGAGCCCACCCCCCCATCAGAGATCCAATTCTTGGGGGGAAGCAGCAGCATCCAAAGGAGGGAGGGGGTGAAAGTGGGCGTGGTGGGGTGGGGAATTAAAGAGGGGGAAAAACGTAGAGAATTTTTATGAGTCTATTTGAATCAAACTGATAACAATTACCAGGAAGCAAGATCAAATGCTTGGAGAATGACAGTTTGTAGTTTCTTTTATACCTTTGGAAGTAAGGAAATTTAAATGAAAGTGGGAGAAAGCAAGGTGGGGATTGGATTACAGGAGAGCTAACAAGATTATGTGCTCCCTGAAGGTGGTTAGGTCTCCAAGGGATCTAAAAAAGAGGATTACTCTGGCATTTCAAAGGTATGTTCACCTAGATGCACAAGAACAATGGACAGGGCTTGCTTAAAGCAAAGATAAATCTTTTACTAAAAAAAATTATGTGCCTGGGACTTGACTACCCACCAGGACCTGCCCAGTTAGGAATTTATGAACATGTCACCCTGTGAGGTTACTTTCCATAGAACTCCTTTTTTTGTTCACTTACCCAAGAAATTATTGACAAATCCAATGACATGACGATTTTCCCTTATGTTTTCTTCTAAGAGGTAGGTGCTACTATTAGCCACATTTTATAGAAGGAAAACTGAGGCATAAGGAGGTGAAATAACTCACCCAGGCCACAGAGCCAGCAGATAGCTAATTCTGGATTTGGACCCAAGCTATCTAACTCTGGAGCCCAAGACCTTAATCACTGTGACATGCTTCCTGTCACCCAGAGCTGGGCCCCAGGGACTTCGTGGGTGTGGAGAAGAGGTTTGGCCTCTTGGAGCTTTAAGGTCTCCTGTGACTGCAGTTTCTGCATCCTGGCTCACATGCCCCCATGAGTTTGCCACCCTCTCAAGTCAGAGTCTCTCTCCTACCATAATTGGCTAAAGAAGCTGTCTCCTATAGGGTGTCTCTAAGTGGGCAATGAGAAGCACTGGGCCTCAAGATGGCTTAGATGGTGCAGGGCCTAGACTTGAAATAATATCGAGTTACATAGGAAAAAGCTGTTCCTTTTCCAATGCTCTTTTAGTTCCAATAACTTCAAGGGGAAAGTCTTGGCTGGAGGTTAGACTTGTACATATGTAAAATTCTTGCTAACTCCCCTCTTTAAGAGGAGTTTTCTTTCCAGATTATATCTCATATCTAGCCCTTCCTATAATATCCACTGCAAGCGGATATTAGTGCAAGCCTGTTCACTGGCCTTCTGACCTCCACACTTGCTTCAGTTCTCCACAAACAGCCAGTGTGAACTCTTTAAAGCTCAAATTTAGTTATCTCATAATTGTTTAAAAACCTTCATCTGCAATAGAGGTAAAATCCAAATTTCCCGGTATGACCTACAATGCTTCTGTGTCCCACCTGTGTATCTGCTTCTTCCTCCTGGCCTTCTGTTTACACTTCAAACAAAGCCTCTCTTTGCATCTACTGGGCCTTCTGCTAGAAATGCAGAAGGTCTCCCTGTCCTCATGGCTGGCAGCTTTCTCATCATTCAAGCTTCAACTCAAATGTCAGAGAGGAGCTGCCAGAACACTGTGGCCCCAGCAGCACCACCCCACTCACTTGCCACCCAGCCACCCGAGCTCCTTGGCACTGGTCTGCACTCAGCAATGGCATTTATCTTTTCTTTTCCTACCACAAGTGGGCTATAAGCTCCTAGAGGAGCTTAGTTATTTTGATATCTTCTGGGCTGGCACAGTGCCTGACCAACAGTAGACATTAAACACACATTTGTTAATAGACTGACAGAATGACACTCGGGGCTCCTGGTGAGAGCCTCTGCTTTTGGAAAAGGCTGGACACCTTCCTGCTCTCAATCTCTTCTAGGTAGAGTTCCCTGTCTCTTCTCCATCATGAGCACTTACCAGATTTTAGAGGGTGCACAGATTCCACCATAAACGACATTGAATCATAGAATGAGAAAGTAGATCTTCCCTCTTTTTTGAAGTTCTCTTTGAAGTTTTTCGATTATGTAAAATAAATATTCTATTAATGTTACTACTTATCACTTCTCCAACACTTGCTAACCTCTAATTTTTACAAAGTCTTCAGTCTTACAGTTTTCTGCAGATATCTAAGTAGGTTATAACATTATACTATTTTCACTGTATATGTTTTATAGATACCTTCTATTGAAGAGGTAAGTGATTTAAGGTAATGCTATGGTGTTCCTCTTTTAAATAAATGTATTTAAACTTTTTTTAAAAAAGGAAATTGATTTAAAGACATTAAACACAAGTATATGGGTTTGTGGCCAACAATGTGAAGTTAGGGTGTGAATGGCTATAGTTGGGGAACCACTGGTTCAGGCAGAGCAGCCTCTTATGGAAACTTAAGTGGCTTTAAATAAGCCTCTGGGCCAAGTGCTATTTAGTTTTTTTTTTTTTATAAGTATTCTTTACTTTTTTTTCCCCTTACTCTTTAATTCCCTCCCTCCCCCACTCCCACCCCTGACCTATGGATGTTGCTGTTTCCCCTGAAGAACTGTATCTCTAAAGGTGGGGGATCTCCTCTCACAGGCTCACAGGGAGCACCTGAGCCTGGAGCACCCTGGGCCTGGAGCACCCGGGGCCTGATCCATGGCTTCACCTGGGGCATGAACTCAGGATCTTCTGCATGTAAAGTGGACATGCTAACCACTACACTATGGAGCCACCCTCTATTTAGTTTTTTACTTTAGTGATATGGGAAGTTATTTGGCTGAGTATGAATAAAGGACTGGAGTATTTTTCCTGGACCTCAGTGTATGAATTTGGGGGTGGGGGGAGGGCTCTTTGTCAATCTCAGTCTGTTTTCTTTTCTAATGTGTAGGGCCTTTGTTCTTTTCTGTGCAGTTCTCACGGCTAGATGTGACCTCCATGGCCATGGATAGAGAACAATAGTTCTGGGATACAAAATACTTAATATCTGGGTGTCAAAGTTCCTTAGTGATGTCAGGCCTTGGGTTTTTGCCAGTCTCATAAATCAGGCAAACATGAGCTTTTACTTATGGATGCACCAAATAAACAACCTAGTACACAGCGTTGCTCAGTGTGACCATTGAAAGAGAGCTCACCTACATAAATTCTGAGGTCCAAAAAATTGGTCTTCCAGGGCCCCAAGCACCCTTTATCTACTGTTTCAGTCTGATCTCTTGTTCTTTTTAGTCTAAATGGTTTCATGTACTATACATAAAATATGCAACAAGTCCACATATTGGTATTCTTTGGACTCAGAAGGTGCCCAACTTTGTATATTTTGTTTCTGTAGTATAGTACAATCCAATTTATAACTCGAACATTCGGCAAATTCAAATATTTGGCTCAAAAGTTGTATGATTTGGCTAAGTTTAACTTGTCTGAGCTTCAGTCTACTTCCTGGTGTTACTTGCAGATTAAATGAAATAATGCATGTAAGGCAGTGTCTGCCTAAATGTAAGCATTCGAGAAATGGCTATTATTTTTATTTTGCATCTCATCAGTCCTCCCCTGCGGAGGCTGCAGTGTAGTGTGATTAGCTCTTCTGCATCTGGGCTGCTTCCCCTACTTCTTGTAGAAATTCAATCATTTCTTCACCAGCATCTACTGCTTTGTGCTGGACGCTGTCTACTTAAGTAGGAATCAGCCGTTCCTGCCTTTGCCAAGCCCACCAAGTAGGAAAGAGAACCTCCAAATAGAGCAAACAGGTGTAATCAGGTACGATTCCGATATTGCACGGGCGAAAGGAGAGGGATCGTCTAATTGTCTGAGACTTGGGGGTGTGAGGGGTGCGGGGTAGTCAGGGAACCGGCACCGACCGTCGAAATCACCGGCAAAGAAGACGGGCGGGCTGTTGGCGATACCCTACTCTCTGGGTGGGCCTGAGGGGGCGACAGGACCCAGGGCCTCGAGGACCTTGAACGCCGGGACGAGATCGGGGCTCCCTCTATCGGTACCAGGAGCCCCGAGGAGCTTGTGCCCAAGAGCGAGGGCGCGGCCAGGCCAAGTCACCTTACAGGAGAAGTTCCGGGCCGACGGGAAAAGCGCCAGCCGTTGAGGGCGGTAGTAACGTCCAGCAGAAACCACACCGCGGAAGGATTTCCGGCACTCGCGGCGGGTGGAGGAGCAGGAAACTGGACGCGCAGGAAACTGGACGCAGGGCTCGTGGGTCCCGT